ATTTGTTGATTTGTATTCCATTATTGGACACCACACACTGTTTATCCATTCCCCAGTTGAGGATTGTTTGTGTTGGTTGCAGTGTTTAGTGAGTACAAATAAAACCACTCTAAACATTTGCCTAAAGTGTTTTGTGTAAAAGTAAGTTTTTATTTTCACATTTCACCTGAATAAATACCCAGGAGTTGGGAACTCCGTAGGGTTTCTGAGACTGTAATTTTTATAGGTATAGATTGCCAGGTCTTTTCTCCCACTGAGCTGCTGGGAGGGTTTGAAGCTTTTGGTTAGTATCTGCGCACTTAACGATTGTGCCAGCAGGGCTCCTTGAGAATATATATAAATACATATATGTATATATATAAAACCAAACCCGTTTCCATCGAGTCGATTCTTACTCATAGCAACCCAATAGGACAGAGTAGAACTGCACCATAGCGTTTCCAAGGAGTGCGTGGCGGATTCGAACTGCCGACCCTTTGGTTAGCAGCCACAGCACTTAACCACTACGCCACCAGGGTTTTTATATATATATATATAATATGTAAATATATAGTGTGATTATGCATATATGATTGGATTATATAATGAGATTAAATGTAATGACTTTATATGATGAGATTATATAAATATATGTGTGTGTGTTTATATATATGTAAAATACCAAGCCACGGTATTTTCAATCACCACATATGCATGCAAAAGTGGAACAATTAATAAGGAAAACTGAAGAATTGATGCCTTTGAATTATGGTGTTGGCTAAGAATATTGAATATACCAGAAGAACAAACAAATCTGTCTTGGAAAAAACACCTGCAGAATACGCTTAGAAAGGAGGATAGTGAGACTTCATCTTATGTACTTTGGACATATTATCAAGAGGGACCAATCCCTGGAGGAGGATATCATGCTTGGTAAAGTTGAAGGTCAGCAAAAAAGAGGAATACCCTCAATGAGATGGATTGACACAATGGCTGCAACAATGGCCTCAAACATAGCAATGATTGTGAGGATGGTGCAGAACCAGACAGTGTTTCATTCTGTTGTTCATAGGGTCATTATGGGTTGGAACCAACTAGATGGTACCTAAGAACTATAAAATATGTATATGTATATGTGTATATATATATATGTGTGTGGTATATATATATATATATATATATATGTATTTTTGTATATATAATACCTAGCACTTATCAGGTGATACAAGATTAAATACTATTATTTCATTATTTATAAATGTTGATGTAGCATATAGATCACACAAATAATGGTACTCAAACATTCCAACTGTTTCCCCATGTGTGCCTGCCACTTTGCTGCTAGGCAGAGATATATACTTTTCCTAGGCATTGAATTGTGTGAAGAAATGACGTACGTCATTTCTGGGTGGGTTAAAGCATATGAACAACCATCCAGTTGTCTCTTCTCTTGCCATAGTGACTGAGGAGGCAATGGGCTCCAGCAGTTGCAGCTACTGATGTCGAAGCCTACAGTAGCCTGTAACTTTGAATGACCATGTGTAACGTGGCATCATCTTCTCAGACAATCTGTGTGATGTACATGCAGTAGCATAATGAAAATAAATCTGCAATAAGTTCAGTAATGGTCCCCAAATATCAGGTCTTACTCCCTGGAACCTGATGTCCACAGCCTCCACCAGACTGAGTTCAGCACAACTAAGTAGATGGTACCCAGCTGCCACCTCTGACTGCTCTGACAGGGAGCACAATAGAGGGTCCCAGAGCTAGAGAAAAATGTAGAACAAAATTCTAACTCACAAAAAAAGACCAGACTTACTAGTCTGACAGAGACTGGAGAAACCCTGAGACTATGGCCCCTGGACACCCTTTTAGCTCAGTAATGAAGCCTCTTCTGAGGTTCGCCCTTCAGTCAAAGATTAGACAGGCCCATAAAACAAAACAAGAAGAAAGCGACACACCAGCTGAGGGGCAAGGACTAGAAGGAAGGAGGGGACAGGAAAGCTGATAATAGGGAAACCAAGGTCTGGAAGGGAGAGTGTTGACATGTTGTGGAGTTGGTAACCAATGTCACAAAACAATATGTGTACTATTTGTTTAATGAGAAGCTAGTTTGCTCGGTAAACCTTCATCTAAAGTACAATAATAAAAAAAATAAAGAAAAAAAGATGAGATGATAAGGGAGCAGGGAAACTAGAGTACTGGAAAGGGAACAAATTGAACACGAAGAGAATGTTGACACATTGTGATAAATGTAACTAAAGTCACTGAACAATTTGTGTGGAAATTGTCAAATGGGAACCTAACTGGCATGTAAACTTTTACAAAAAACTCAATAAAAAATTATTTTAAAAAATACAAAATAAAATAAAACAAAATTTGTTGTTGGGTGCCATAGAGTCGATTCTGACTTATAGTGACCCGATGTGTCAGAGTAGAACTGTCCCATTTGGTTTCCTATGCTAAGGAGCCCTTGTGGCCCAGTGGTTAAGTGCTCGGCTGCTAACCAAAAGGTCAGCAGTTTGAACCCACTAGCCGCTACACAGGAGAAAGATGTGGCAGCCAGTTTCCATAAAGATCACAGCCTTGGAAACCATATGGGGCAGTTCTATTCTGTCCTATGAGTCGGAATTGACTCGACAACAATGGGTTTGGTTTTGAAGTAATCTTTATAGAATTAGACGAAGTCATTCTTTTGCGGAGCTGCTGGGTGAGTTCAAACTGCCAACTTTCCAGTTAGCTGCCGTTTGCTTAATTGTTGCACAACGACTGATCTTTTTCTAAACATTTTCAGGCAAAAAAAATAGTTAACATTATTATCATTCTCAACCAACTTTTTTTTTTAACAGAATGTGAAGAGTTGATAATCATATAAGAATGAGGTAAAAAAAATTGTGAACATTCTCTTACCAAATTACTAATTAATGATAGAAAAATTAATTTATTGAAATGTTATAATTATTTATTTATAGATAACATGAGCCAACAAAAAATAACATTATTCTAATACCCTCTAAGGCCCTTAGCATTTCTGTTATTGTATGGAGAAAATCTTAGAGGGATGAAAATATCACTTTGTAGATTGTATATTATTAAAAGGTTAAACCTAGAGACAATTTTGTCTCCTCAACAACCTTCCTGAATGCACCCTTCACCTTCTTTTTCCTCAGACTATTGACTATAGGGTTCAGCATGGGGATGGCCATAGTGTAGAACACAGATGCTATTTTGTTGGTATCCATGGAATGAATAGAACTTGGTTATAAAAAAAAACCAAAAAACAAAAACCACTGCTCTCAAGTCAATTCCAACTCATAGCGACCCTATAGGGTAAAGTACAACTGCCATATAGGTTTTCCAAGGCTGTAAATCTTTACAGAAGCAGAGTGTCACATCTTTCTCCTGCAGAGTCAGAACTTGGCTGTAAGTACAATATAATGACATTTCCATCAAATATGGGGACTGCAATGAGATGAGAAGCATACATGGATAAAACCTTCTGATATCCCTCAACTGAGTCCATCTTCAGGGTGATGATAAATACGAACAGGTAGGAAATCAAGATAACCTGAAGAGCAAAAAACACATTGAAACTTGATATAAGAAAGAGAACCAACTCACTAATGTGTTTATCAGAGCAAGACAGAGTCATGACTACTGGAATATCATAGAAAAAGTGGAAGATCACACTGAACATACAGAAAGAGAGATGGAATGTGTCTCCAATCTGGATGGATGCATTCAGAAAACGGCATACGTAGCAGCCTATGGCCAGATGAACACATACCTGTCGTCATGGTGGTGGTGAAATGTACGGGTTTACACATTACTACATACCAGTCACAGGCCATTAAGGCTAAGAGGTAACTTTCTGCAGCGGCGAAGACTGCAAAGAAAAATATCTGAACAGCACATGCATTGCAGGAGATAACTTCGTCTTCTATGAGGAACCTAATCAGGACCTTTGGAGTGACTGCTAAGGAGTAACAAAAGTCCACTAGAAAGAGGTTACTGAGGAAAAAGAACATAGGAGTATGTAGGAGAGAGTCTAACAAAATCAACCCAATCATCCCCAGGTTCCCATCTACTGTGATGATGTACATCGGGGTAAATATAATGAGTGAGATCCTCAATTCTGAAGCACTGATTAGTCCTAGTAGGATGAATTCAGCCCCCTCTGTGTTGTTCTCTATGGATGTTATTTGGAAATCACAAAATGTTCTGTAGCAGTGAGAAATGAAGAAACAGAGTAGTAAACAAAAAATAATTGTGCAGAAATTAAAATGTATAACTATCCTGTGCATTATTTTATTATGGCAATAATTTATTCTTTGGTATTCTCCCGGTCTAAAGCATGAGCATGAAAACACAATTCAGTAGATAACTTATCTACAAGTTACATACTGTTAAAGCTGAAGGATCTTCATGGATCACTTATCAAACTTTAGTTTTATATGTAAGTAAATTGAGTTGCAGGAAAGAATATGACTTATCCAAGATCACAGACTTGGAATGAACTGATCTCCCAAATCTGATCTTTTAAGTCTACTAACAGGTTACACTTCTACAGTGCTCACATGCCAGGCACGTTATGTGTATTTAAAAAACAAAAAAAACTATTGCCATTGTATTCTGATATCTCAATTGGTTATTTTAATTTGTTTTATTAAAAACTAGCCACATTCCTTTTATCTCATTTAACAAATTCCCATAGGATCCTTGCATATGCTTCTAATCAAGGACTTGTGTGTCCCTAAGGACATACATGCTTACAATGGTATATGGTAGAGAACATGTGTATGGAACATGTGAATAAATCAAATGTAATTAGCAAGAGTTTGAAGCAAAATACTAAAATTTTTACAAGAATCCCATTCTCATTCAAGTATTATACTTCTGGACATTTTTTTTTTTCCTAGACAACAGACTTTTTATAGTTACAGTTTGGGCCTTGAAGTGTGTGCCATTACACAGAGAAGATCTGAAAGGAATAAAACTGGATTGTTATGGATCCTACAGGGTTACAAGATTAAGCCTAGAGACAATTTTGCCTCCTCAACAACCTTCTTGAATGTGCTCTTGACCTCCTTGTTCCTCAGGCTATAGACCAGAGGGTTCAGCATGGGGATGACCATAGCATAGAACACAGATGACATTTTATCTGTGTCCATGGAATGACTGGAGCTGGGCTGCATGTACATGAAGATGCATGTCCCGTAGAAGATGCAGACAGCAGTGAGGTGAGAAGCACAGGTGGATAAAGCTTTCCAGTATCCCTCAGCTGATTGCATCTTAAGTATGGTGAAAAATATGAAAAGGTAAGAAATCAGTATAACCAGAAGAGTAAAAAATATATTGAAGCTCACCACAAAAACAAGTACCAACTCACTAACATATCTATCAGAGCAAGAGAGAACCATGACTGCTGGAAGGTCACAGAAAAAGTGATGGACCACATTGGACATACAGAAGGAGAGACTGAACGTGTTGCCAGTGTGGATGGAGGCATTTAGGAAACCACAGATATAGGAACCTACAGCCAGACAAGCACACACACTTGTTGTCATGGTGGTGGTGTAATAGAGGGGTTTACACACTGCTGCGTAGCGGTCATAGGCCATTGAAGTCAAGAGGTAACTTTCTGTAGTGGCAAAGGCTACAAAAAAGAACATTTGAGCTGCACACGCATTGTAGGAGATAACATTGTCTCCCACGAGGAGCCCAGCGATGACCTTAGGAGTGACAGCTGAGGAGTAACCAAAGTCCACCAGAGAGAGGTTACTGAGGAAAAAGTACATGGGAGTGTGCAACTGAGAGTCCAGCAGGATCAGCATGATCATCCCCAGGTTCCCAAACAAACTGATAAGGTAAATGAGAGTGAATAAGATTAAAAAAAGGATCTGCAGTTCAAGGGCGTTGGTTAGTCCTAGCAGAATGAACTGAGTCACTTCTGTACTGTTCTCCATTGACAATATTTCAGAATCAGGCGATGCTCTGTAGCAATAAAGATTAAAAAAACAGAGCATTAAACAGAAAAGAGATTGTAGTAAAATTGAAATATATAAATACTACATACTTTATTTCATTTTAACAATAATTTGTATTTCAAGATTCTCCACACAAAAAACATGGGCTTGACCACGAAATTTAGTGCTTAAATTATCTACACAGTTACTAACAGTAGAAGCTTAATGTCGTGGATTGAATTGTGTCCCCCCAAAAATGTGTTTATCAGTTTGGCTAGGCCATGATTCCCAGTGTTGCGTGGTTGTCCTCCATTTTGTGATTGTAATTTTACATTAAAAAGGATTAGGGTGGAATTGTAATACCACCCTAACCCAGGTCACATCCCTGATCCAATGTAAAGGGAGTCTCCCTGGGGTGTGGTCTGCACCACCTTTTATCTCTTACAAGAGATAAAAGGAAAGGGAGGGAGGCAAGCAGAGAATGGGGGGGCATCATACCACCAAGAAAGAAGCACCAGGAGCAGAGCGTGTCCTTTGGACCTGAGGTTCCTGCGCAGAGAACCTCCTAGTCCAGGTGAAGACTGATGATGACGAGGACCTTCCTCCAGGACTAACAGAGAAAGAGAGAGAGAGCCTTTTCCTGGAGCTGATGCCTGAATCTGGACTTGTAGCCTACTGGACTGAGAGAATAAACTTCTCTTTGTTAAAGCCATCTACTTGTGGTATTCTGTTACAGCAGCACTAGATGACTAAGACACTTAAGGAATTCATGGATCATCTCCTTGACTTTTAACTTTTGTAAAATTTTAAACTAAGTTGTAGAAAATGTAATAACTACACCAGGATGACATGTCAGGAATGACATGAATTGCCAATTCAGTTTTCCCAAGCCTAGTGAAAACTTACACTTTTATATTGCTCATTTGCCAGTCATTGCTCTAAACACTTTACATGCATATTCATGTATTCCTTTCAACAACCATATGAAGTTGACTAGTTGTTATCCCCACTTAACTTATGAGGCATGAAAGATTGAGAAATTTATTCATGTTTACAGAAATATTAAGTGGTAAAGCTGTGCTTAGGATCCAGGCATATGTATTCTCAGTGATCTTAACTAAAATTAAATCAAATTGAATCAAAATCAGTTTAAAATTACTCACTGTCCCCATTGGTCCAAACTCTACGTTCGGGATAACACAGTGAAATAGCTAAGAGATATATGGATAGTAGATAGGGTGGTATAACTGCAGTAGTAGGTACACGTAAAACCAGCAAAGACAGTTCTGAAGGAAAGACTTGGCATTGGGCATAGAGGTTCGGTGCAGTGAAAAGGTGCATATGTGTTCAATATCAGCTCTATCATTGAATACCTAGCAGTCATTGGTCCTAACCTAACTTCGTACAGCCCCATTTCCTCCATCTTTAAAATAAAGATGGTAGTGACACCTGCTTCAAGGTGTTATTGTGAGAATTAAATGAGATAATGCATAAAAGACAATGAATAAAATTGAGTGTTCAGCATAGCCTGATTAGTGCTGCTGTTGTTGTTAGGTGCTGTCAAGTCAGTTCTGACTCATAGCAATGCTACGTACAGCAGAACAAAACACTGCTTCATCTTGCACCATCTTCACAATCGTTGCTATGTTAGAGCCCATTGTTCAGCCACTGTGTCAATTCGTCTCATTGAGGGTCTCCCTCTTTTTTGCTGACCTTCTACTTTACCAGGCATGATGTCTTTCTCTAGTGGTTGGCCTCTCCTGATAACACGTCCAAAATAAGCAAGACAAAGTCTCATCATTCTCGCTTCTAAGGAGCATTCTGGCTGTACTGCCTCCAAGACAGACTTCTTCTCCTCCTAGCAGTCCATAGAATATTCAGTATTCTTTGCCAACACCAAATTTGAATGCATCAATTCTTCTTTGGTCTTCCTTTTTCATTGTTCAGCTTTTGTATGCATATGAGTCATTTGAAAATACCATGGCTTGGATCAGGTGCACTTTAGTCATCAAAGTGACATATTTCCTTTTTAACACTTTAAAAAGGTCTTCTGCAGCAGATTTGCCAAATGCAACATCTCATTTAGTGTTAGTGCTAGGTATAACATATGATACCATATTAGAATGCAAGGATGGCCTTTATGTTGGTTTTGTGAAAGGTGGGTGACAACATACAAGTCTCTAAAATGTGTGTGAGTTTTTAACATCTGCCCTTCCTCACATACTAGGTCCACTGAGATATCCTGTGGCCCTAGTGTTTCTCAGGGTACTCCATCCCATATGAGGGCCATCTTAGTCATCTAGTGCTGCTGTAACAGAAATACCACAAGTGGATGGCTTCAACAAAGAAAAATTTATTCTCTCACAGTCCAGGAAGCGACAAGTCCAAATTCAGGGCATCAGCTCCAGGAGAAGGCTTTCTCTCTCTGTCGGCTCTAGAGGAAGGTCCTTGTGATGCCATCAGTCTTCTTTTGGTTTGAGAGCATCTCAGCACAGGAACCTCAGGTCCAAAGGAAGCGCTCTGCTCCTGGCAGCACTTTTTTGGTGGTATGAGGTTCCCCTGTGTCTCTGTTCACTTCTCTCTTTTACATCTCAGACGAGATTGGATTAAGCCACAATCCAATCTTGTATACCTCATCAGTATAACCTCATCATAGTGACAGAGTTTACAACACATAAGGAAATCACATCAGATTACACAATCATATGATACTGGGAGTCATGACCTAGCCAAGCTGACAGATATTTTTGGGGGACATGATTCAATCCATGACAAGGGCTGTGCCAGTATTTCTGTGTGAAGCATTCTTTTACTTAATTTCTCTCTTGAAATCTATATTTTAGCTTGAGTTGAAAAAGTCTCATTTTCTTAAACACATTCTTTCTCTCATTACTGTCATCCCATAGCTGAATCACAGAGATCAAAGGTTGAAAGCCCATAGATTATAGGTGCATTTTGCCTGCATATCTGTTCTGCTGGCGAGCTCCATGTTTTCAATTTTTTTATTTGAATCTTTTCTTGTGAAGGCACAATATTTTACATTTTTTATTTTAATTTGACGTCTTGGGTAGGACATCCATCCTCTGCTAACTGCTACCCTGTACCATCTTCCTCCTAATCCTTTCATAGCTTCACTTTATAAGCCTGGCTTATTAAGGTCTTATGTTTGCCAGCATTTAACACATAACCACTTTAAGCATACTTACGGTAAACAACCAGCGACAATATATGTATATAGATACATACCTTTTCAATTAACTCTCACAATAACATTAAAATTTCTCTAGTGTTATCTAGTGTTATTATTCCCATTTTACCATTAAGGATTCAATAAGTTATGCTATACTCTACAATTATATAGTGATTACGAGGAGGATTCAAGATTTGAAACCAGTTCTGAACAAATAAAAAAAAAACAACCCATTGTCATTGAGTCAATTCCAACTCATAGCGACCCTCTAGGGCAGAGCAGTTGCCCCATAGGGTTTCCAAGGAGGGCTGGTGGATTGAAATTGCTGACCTTTTGATTAGCAGCTGTAGCTCTTTACCACACCACCAGGGTTTCCAAACAAATAAAAGCCTGGCTATTAGCCACCTCATTGTCTGCATTCGTAGATTTACTAGTAATAATAAGGGTGAGATTATGAAATAAAGGTTAAAATGGAGTATGGGTCTTGCTAATTCAATTAGCACGCTTCTATTGCTTAAACAAGTGTCATTTCATTCTCTCTTTTTTTTTTTTTAAGCCTTCAATTAGAGGCATTTACCTTCATTTAGAGGCCAACAATAGTGAACAAGATGAAATTACCATCTACTCAATTAGAGTATCATCTATCCTATTTTTGTTTTTCTTGCTCATCTCTTTTGGAAAGTGACATGATATTTCATAAGTGTCACTAAACTCCCCACTGATAGAAGTTTTAACATTTATAAGCCAGCCTTACCTCATTGTTTTAGAAAAGTGTTTAAAATATCTTATTCTGGTATCAAATAATGCATGTTATAGCTAACTTCCCCACTGATTTTGCATGAATTACAGTGATCACTAAAATTGTTCTTGAAATAAAGAACTTACCTTGATTCCTGTTAAAAAGAGAAAGGCAATTCTGAATTGTGAGTTCAAAATCAGAAATTCAGCCATGGAATAATGCATAAATACTATTAGAGAATTTCTCTCTCACATACTGGTCAAAGGGTTCCAAGGTCTCTAAGGCAAGGAGAGATGGAGGAAAGAACATTAACTTGCAGCCATGAACCTGGGTTGAAGTCATTCATTAACCATGCATTCTTTTTCTGCTCTTAGAATGGTTACTTACCTTCTACTTATTTGTAAGACAAGCATAAATAAATATGTTCCCCATGTAATTCACAGAATTATGGCTGTGAAGAGCAAATGAGGAAAGGCCTATAAAACAACTCATGAAGGGGCTACTATTTTCAAGTCATTAAATATGATTTTCTTTGAGGGTGTTTCCCTGGATGTGGTTAAAGATTTGGTGCAAATGCTCAGTTGGGGGAAGGTTGGTATGTGTGCTAACAACTATTAGCATTAATTTGAATGAATGATCACCAAAGTGGGTCTGCACACAGTCTGGTCTCTCCAACTGATGTCACATGGGTGATGTTGCAGTTTCAGAAGCTAATGCATGGAAACCAGGAGGGAGTTATAAAGACCTAGAGCTCTCAGGGGATGCCCCCTATGAGGGCATTTATAGCTCCTCATCTCATTTTCCCAGGGAAAAGGTAATTATACTGCCTGTGGTGGCCTAGATGGATATGTTTAGTATGCACATAATTTTATGCATTACTTGTTGCCATTTCTTATTTTTTATTTTCTAATGGAAGTATAATTTACATACAGTAATATTCATACTTTATAGTGTATAGTTGTAAGACTTTGGTCAAATATGATCATGTAACCACTATGGCAATCACAATATAGAACAGTTTCATCACCTAAACAAATTTCCAGACATTCTTTGTGGTAAACCTATTTTCCTGACCAC